CTTGTTCTGCAGACATGGCCAGTGCAGCTCAGAGCACCGCCAAGGTCAGAAACACTTTGGACGGCCCCGTCCATCACCCGGCTGTGGAGCACCCAGCAGGGACTCGAGCTCAGGCTGCCCGACCCCCACATCTCCTGCTCTCATCCTGGATCCAGCATAGCGAGTCTGCCAAAGGAGGGCAATGCGAACGGCAGCCAGCACAAGGAGCCCCACTGACCAAGCACTGCGTCGCCCAAGTGCCTGTGACGGGGCCCTGTGTTCTGCCTTCACCCACGCGTCCTCAGGACACCGACAGGGCTTTGAGTGAGAGACAATCCAGACAGGACACCCAGGAAGGGAATGCAGGTGTGAGATGGGGACGGGGGAGCTGACCAAGGTCCTGGCTTGCCCAGGATTGAGGGGATTTCTGGGATAGGGGGCGTTCAGGGATCGTTCTGCACAAACTTGCACGATTTGGCTAGAAAGGAAAGGGGTTATGGGTTGATGGTATTCCCCCAAGAGACACATTAAAGTCCTAGGCCTGATGTGATTTGGAGAATGAGTCTTTGCAGAGAGAATCCAAGTAGGATGAGGCTGTGCTGGATTAGGGGGCCTTAAATCCAATCCCTGGCACCTTGTAAAAAGACACAGAGAGGGGGTCATGTGCGTGTGTGCAGACAGACAGATACACACACACACACGGGGACAGGGGGCGCCATGTGATGATGGAGGCAGAGATTAGCATGACTTAGCATGACACGGCACCTGCCAGGATTGAGGAGAATCCCACAGGACGGAGTCTTCTCCACAGTCCTCCCTAGGGAACGGCCTTGCCAACTCCTTGACTTTGCCCTCCTGGCCTGCAGAGCCGTCAGAGCACACAGGTCTGCTGTGTGAGCCCCTGCGTCTGTCCTCCATTACAGCACCTCCAGGAGGCGTGGCGCTGGGATTATGGCTTCGTCCAGGTCATCACCGCCCCTGCTGCACCTCCCAGCACTGCTGCCTGCTCCTGCCCCAGGCTGGGAACAAGTCCTCCTCGGGGCAGGCCAGGGGGTGTGGCTCACACTCAGCCCCGGCAGTCTGCCTCCCCCCCTCCCCCAGTGATGCCAGGGCTAAGGGTGTGCCCTGCTCTGCAGGTGAGTGGGGGGCCTGCAGAGGTAAAAGGGCGGCCCAGGGCCCTCGGCTAATAAACGGGAGGCAGTGGAGGTTTGATCTGTGCTGTGTCCACAGCTGGGTCTGCCCAGATGCTTCACTGTGAGGACGAAGGCCAGGCCGTGGGGTCACTGCCCCTGATACGTTTAGGAGGCAGTGAGATGAGGGACAGGCCACTTGGTGGCCATCGTGGGCTGACCGGCGTCCTGCTCAGGTTCAGTTGTTGAAGTCCTAACCTTCACGACTCAGAATGTGACAGAAGTTGGGGGAGGGTCCTTGAGGAGGGCAGCCAGGTGAAATCAGGCCACCAGGCCCGGAGGGACCACATGAGGACTTGGGGAGAAGGAAGCGACTATGAGCCCAGGAGAGAGGCCCAGGGGGACACCGGCCCAGCCAGACTTCCAGCCCCAGGGACCGTGGGGACCAAGCTTCTGTGCATGGAGCACGGGCTGTGGGGCTCTGGCGTTAGAACTGCCCAGCACGGACCCGGCTCAGGCAGCGCTGTCGGCGAGTGCATGCCACGGGGCTCCCCTGGGCAGGCCTGGGTGTGGGGGGATGAGAGGTCGGAACTTGTCAGTATCTCTCTCTCTCTTACTTGCTGATACTGCCAATGGCAGCCCCTGGACCCGTCCCCCATGACCTGGCAACTTCCCCCCTCCGCAGAGATGAGATGAATCATCGCTGCCTTCCCTGCTCCGGTCAGAACCCCCACTGTGGCCACTGACCAGTGCCTCCACAAGTCCAGCAGGGCTGCTCCCACTCTGCTGGAGGCTCCTCGAGGGTCACACCTGCACCTGCACCTGCAGTCCCCACCCCCCACCCCCACCCCCCCAGTGGCACTGCAAACCCAGGCCCTGGCTCTCTGTCCCTACACAGGTGCGAGTCAAGGCTCATGGCCAAGCACCAGGTAGGAACAGCAGAGCAGAAGCAAACCTGGACTTCAGTTTTTATAAAGTCACATACGTTCAGAAGAGAAGAAGGAAATGCAGCCTCATTAATCATGAACGCAGTGGGTTTGCTTCCTTATGTTTTCCCCGTTTCTACTGTGAGGCTGAATTATTCATACAGAGAATTCCCTGGGAACTTTATAGGAAAAAGGAAGAGGAGAGGAGAGGGAAAGAGGAAGGCGGAGGCCCAGGGGCAGTGGCTCCCTGTTTCTGCTCTTAAAGGGACCCACTCACACTTCCCCAAACAGCAGCTGAGCCAACGAACCCTGCCAGGACTGAGTGAGGATTCCTGAGAAAATGTACCTCACGCATCGGGCATGGGGCTAGGTAGAGAAAGACACTGGGTAGAAACGGCCATCACTGGGATGGGGCAGGGTGGCTATAGTGATCCCAGGTTGGGGTGGGGCTGGCGGATGCACCAAGGACCTCCAGCTTTCCCAGCCCCTCGGCTGCTCCGTGTCACTCATGTCCCCGGGACTTCATTCCCAGCACCTGCCTCTCTCTGCTCTTCTTTTGCCCTGCCCCTGCTCCAACTCCAAGAACATCCTACTGCCTGTCACTGGACACACCCTGTGATGTGTGGATCGGATCTGTCCCTGGCAAAACTCCCCTGGGACTCAGCTCCTCCACCTGGCACTGCTGGGAACTGTAAGAGGGAATTCTGTCCCGTAGCAGAGCCTAACTAGTGTCATTTTGGGAAGACCTGGTTAATTCATTTTCTTTTTAAAGATTTATTTATATATTTGAAAGGCAGAGTTACAGACTGTGAGAGAGGGGGGAAAGGGAGGGAGGGGGAGTGAGAGGGAGAGAGAGAGGGAAAGGGATGGAGGGAGAGAGAGAGAGAGATCTTCCATCATCTCATTCACTCCCTAAATGGCCACAAAGTGCAAAGCCTGGGCCACAGCCAGGGCCAGGCCACAGCCAGGAACCTGGAATTCTATCCGGGTCTCCCATGTGGGAGCCAGGGGCCCAAGCACTCGGGTCACCCCCACTGCTTTCCCAGGCACATCAGCAAGGAGCTGGGCCCAGCTGGGACTCAAACTGGTGCTGGCATGATGTTGGCATGGCAGGCGGCAAGTTCACCTGCGGCTCCACAACACCGGGAGGACTGGGTTAATTCTCCTGAGATTGGATTAGGTCTCATGGGAGTGAGTTATGGACAAGATCAGTGATGAGCAAGTAGGCTGTCACAGAGCAGGGCAGCCTCCCTGGCTCTCTCCCTTGCAGGTGCTCCTGCCTGCACCTGCTGGCCACCTCTGCACACACCCCTGCTGTGGGTGCTGTCCAACACATCACCATACAGCCCAAATCTCTTGCTCAGTGGCAGCTGCCCTATCGTGAGCCTCCAGCTTCAGGGACTCTCAGCTAAATACACCTCATTTCTTTAACAATTTCCTAGCCTCGGGTATGTTGGTATAGCAACACAAAAGAGGCCAGGACACCATCATCACTGGACTGTGCCAGGATCTCCTTTATTTATGTTACCCCAGACTCTCCACTCTCATCCCTTTTGCCCTGCAATGGTCTCCCCCCAGCTCTACGCAAACTCATGTCTCGGTGTTTGACGAGTGCCCTGGAATCCATCTCTTAAATCGACACGAATGGTAAAAGGGCTGCATCCTTCGCTCTGCTGGTTTTGGTGCTGGGTCGCGATGCACACGTGGCGCCTGTCGCCGCTGTTCTAGATCTCGCACGCTGCTTCCCTCTGCAGCAAGTCTCTATCACTGTGGGCATCTGCCATGCTTTGTGTGTGCTCTCCCCAAAGGAAGGCGACCCTGCTAACTTCTCTTTCCTGGCTGCCACAGACAAGGCCCTGGTTACCTTTCTTGTCCGTTCACTCTTACGAGACTTTGCAAAAACGTCTCCGCAGTATATACTTGGGGTGGAGCTTTGAGTCTTAGGGTATGGGGTCGCTTAGTCTGCCTGATTTCCAGCCACTGTTCCAGCCGTGCCCAGGGCCTTCCATTTCCCCGTGTCTTTGCCACCATGGCATTTTCCAAATTTCCCATGTCGGTAACCTGATAAACGCTAGGGGGCGTGCCGCTGTTCTAGCCTGTCTGGCTCTGCTTCCCACCGGCTTCTCCCACTCTGGAATGTGTGGTAGTTTTGGCAACACCGTTGCTCTTGGAGCACCTGAAACCAAGACACTTCCGAGATTTATAAAAAAGAACCAGGAAATGGATGGTACTCAAACCTCGACCCACGGTGCCTTTTTCAAGAGGGCTTACAGGCCCCCTCCCCTAAAATACCACAAAATACCACCACCCTGGTGTGGCTGCAGGGCCACAGAACACGGGCTTTGTCCCCACTCCATCCCCACTGCCTGAAACACTGCCTGGCACCCGGAGGGGCTCCCATGTGTGGGATTAAAGGGAGAGTTGAGGAACAGGTTCTTTACCTACATGAAATGACCCCAGACCCGATTCCCGAGGATGTGGGTGCACTCCTCCCAGTCGCCATCACCCCTGGCAGAGTTAGCTGTGCTGATTGCAAGTACATTAAACTAGCCGGGCTAACAGTGAGAATGCTGCATGGGTGGCGGCGCTGCAGCGTGCACTGGGACCATCACGTGGAATTTATCTAACACTGTGACAAGCACATTGCAAAACTGGAGAGCAGGTTGTGGGTTCCAGAGTCTGACCTAGGGTTCCTTGCATACCCTCAGTGACGGGGAGCCCCCTCCTTCTGAGGCAGCCCGTATCGCTGAGGGGTAGCTCTTGGAAGGCAAAGCATGGGGAAAGGAGATTACGGGTCTTGGACAAAGCAGCGTCTCCCTTCCTTAGGACGACAGCTCTAGTGTGCAGCTGAGAGAGATCAGCCTCCCTCCCCCTCGCCCTCGCCCTCGCCCTCGCCCCCGCCCCCTCTCCCGCCCCTGTGGCTTTGTGGGAATCTGAGGGGCAGGAGGCGCTGCAGCAGTCCTACCTGGATGAACGGGAAGAGGAGCCCGACCGCAAAGTTGGAGAGCCAGTTGACGGTGCCCGCGATGATGAAGGCCGCCGGCCGCTGAGACTGCTGGAAGATCTCGCCAGTCAGGATGAACGGGATGCCGCCTGCAAGGGACAGCCAGGAGTCTAAGGTTGTGCCGCCCACACCCACCTCCGGACGCCACGGGACCACCCGCCCCACCCACCCCGCCCACACACCAGGCAGGAGTCGGCGCCGCCTGTATGCGGGACAGCTTTAGGAGCGGGTGTTGGGGTCAGATGACCCTTCACCTGAGAGCCCTAACCATGTGAAACTGTTTCTCTGAGTTGGCTGGTGCAAATGAGGATTCCTGGTCCTTGTGGCCCTGCCAGTGCCCTGTGGGTCAAGCTGTGAGCCACCACGAATTGCTACTCTCTCACTGACCACAGAATTAGCAAAGTTCCTGGTGTGACCTCCCGGAGAACCGAGGCAGCCTGGTATCGGCCACCACGTAGCTCAAGTGCAGAGAGGTATCTTGATTGCCCCAGCATCCCCACCCGCCGTCTAGCAGAGGCAGAATCGGGCTGGAGACCCTGGCCTCCAAATCGTGGTTTTTTTTGTGTGTGTGTGTCTGCTCCTCTTTGCTTGAGAGAGGCCAGAAGGCCCTGCTGAACTTGCTTTCCTGTCCTTACGCCCTTGATGGGATGCAAGATGCATCCCCGGTTTACTCAGGGCAGACATGGCACTGGGCGGGACAGTTCCACATTTTTGAAGAACTGCTCTGTGCAGCTGCAGCATGCTTGTCCCCCCCACCTTGTGATACCAGGAGTGCCCCCATCATGCCGACAACCCAAACCACCTGCACATGTTTCCAAACGCCCTTCTGAGAGCTGCCCCCTCCCCTTCCAGAATGTTCTGCTTGGTGAGACGAGGAATTGGGCCTTGTGGCTGGACCCAGGACCTGGGGCTCAGCCTGGCTACTGGGGCCTGCTTGCATCTGTCCTCATTTGGAGTCATCACTCGCTCTTTTAATCAGACCTTCACATTGGCATTTCCAACAAGACAGGGCAGGTAGTGGAAGAGGAAACCCTGAGCAACTTTCCCAACCTCTAGGGAGGCCTCAGCCACTTGCAAGTCCCTAGGCTGGGGTCATTCCGTCCATCAGCTGTCAACTGTTTACTGTGCTGGGGCTGCTCCTGCAATGGTAGCTGAGAGCATCCCTGCCCCTGCCTTTTGGGGGACCCCCTTGTCCGGCGGTGGAGACAACTTGTTCATCAAGGAGGAAGCGAGTGAGTACAGAATGTGCCATGCACGCTGGAGGAGATGCACAGGGCAGTGGGGGGTCTGACTTTAGCAGTGGCCGGGAAAGGGCCCCCTGGGGAGGCTGGTGAGGGTGCTGGATGAAGGAGGAGACACAGCTGATGCAGATCGGGGGACGTCGTGCGGGGCGGAGGCTCTGTAGGGAAAAGGCCTGGGTCAAGATCGAGAACAAGTCCCAGTGTCTGCATAGCTGAGGGAGCTCGAGAGGAACGGGATGAGGGGAAGAGAGCAGGGCCGGTGCAGCTGCCGCTTGTGGCCCAAGGAGAGGGGGTTTGCTGAAAGACACCACTGTGGGCTTCTACGCAGAGCTGAGTGACTGTGACCTACAGGGCGTGCTGGTCCAGGGAGGAGGCAAGGGCTGAGTAGCAGCACTCAGATGGTGGCAGTGGGGGTGGGAGGGAGGGGCCAAATTCAGAGTCCCCCCCGCCCCAACGGAGACAGAACTCCCCAGGTGAGCACCACCCTGCTGACAGCAATGACTTATCATCAAGCTGACCGCACCAAGCAACCCAGGGTCACAGCCAAGAGCGGGACCAACACAAGCCTGTCTCTCCCGAGCTTCCACCGTCAGCACCCCAGCCTGCTGCTGGCCAACCCTGGACTACACGGCTGAGAACAGTCTCCCCAGCCGCCACTGAGCTGTGAGTCCCCGGTGGAGGCACCATCTCCATCGGCCTGGTTCCTTTGACAAGGACTAGGTACACCATCGGTACTGACTCAGCTTGCATTAACTGCTCACCACTAGAGTGTGGGGAAGATTCAGTGTGCTGTTTACCACGGGGGAAGTGGACTCTCTCTCCAACGTGTCTATTAAGATGTGTGAGGATGGTGTTAACACACTGAAATGTGGTAGACCAGGCTTTGGGGTTGTGGAGTGCAGATCACGCTGCCATCAGAGTTTATGGCACATACTCGCTTGGTCCTGCAAGCAACACCACCGGGAGCCCAACGGCATTTGCCAGGGCATCCGTCCACAGCTGTTCTGACAGGGCTGGGAGCTGGGGGTCTGCTTTCTCTGACATCTCTAGGTGTGGTCTGGGCAGCACCTGTCTGGGTTCGGTGGACCCCACCAGAACGTGGTGCCTCCACTGACAATGCGGCAGAACCTTGATGAAGCTGCCTCCCACACAGCTCGCTGTTTCTTTAGGACTTTTCTGCTGGTTGTGGCACAGCACTGAGCATGTACTAGGTGCTCTGTGTTTGCAGGATTCATGAAAGAACAAATGATCGGCACCGTCGAGTTCCTGGGCCTCCCCTCTGGATCCCTCACTCGGCCTGCAGGCCCCTACACCCTGGGGACAAACACAAGCAGCCGTGAGGATCCTGCAGGCTCCATGGTACTCATGGGTTGTCATTTGCATTCGTCCCTCCAACCAGAGAAGGCAGTCAAGTGCTGTGGGCTGGACTTTGGCCTCTGGTCTCAGCAAGTCTTAAGCCTTGACCCCACTCAACCTGTGTGGAACTCAGCTCTCGTACTGGTAAAGTGATGACAGTAGAGACTTACTACTGGGGCAGTTGTGAGCATTAAATGCAAGTGTTACTTAAGTCTTGCACATGAGAAATACTTCATAAATATTAGATACTGTAAACATAATGGAAAACCTCTCTGCCTTATTTGCCCTTACAACAAGTTAGCTGAACCCCAGAGAAGGGGTTCCAGCAAGGAGTGGTAATGATGGTGGTGGTGATGATGGTGATGGTGGTGATGATGGTGATGATGGTGATGGTGGTGATGTGGTGATGGTGATTGTGATGATGGTGGTGGTGGTGGTGATGATGGTGTTATTATGGCGGTGATGGTGGTGGCGGTGATGGTGTTACTGATGGTGGTGATGGTGGTGAAGATGATGTGGTAGTGATGATATGAGGATGGGTAATGATATGGTGATGATGATGGTGATAATGGTGTTAATGGTAATGATAACAGTGATTGCTGGCCGGCACCGCGGCTCACTAGGCTAATCCTCTGCCTTGCGGCGCTGGCACAGCGGGTTCTAGTCCTGGTTGGGGCGCCAGATTCTGTCCCGGTTGCCCCTCTTCCAGGCCAGCTCTCTGCTGTGGCCAGGGAGTGCAGTGGAGGATGGCCCAAGTGCTTGGGCCCTGCACCCCATGGGAGACCAGGAGAAGCCCCTGGCTCCTGCTATTGGACCAGCGCGGTGCGCCGGCCGCAGCGCGGCAGCCATTGGAGGGTGAACCAACGGCAAAGGAAGACCTTTCTGTCTCTCTCTCTCTCTCACTGTCCACTCTGCCTGTCAAAAAAAAAAAAAAATCCATGGGAGGTGGCAGGCCCTTACTTCCTAAGTCCGGCTCTAGAACGTGGTGCTATGCCCTCGCTCCCAGCTTGGTACTAAGGTATTGCAGATATAAAGATTGATCCAGGTGCTGTCAGTAAGGCCAGGAATGCATGGCACGAGCAGACTCTTGGGGCCTCTCCCCAGATGCCCCATCCACACACTTTTGTGCATCCCAGCCAGACCTGGCACCGCTCCCACAGACAGCTGCTTCGCCCGAGGCCTCCCCCAGCCTGTGTGGCCCGCCAGTGCAGCCGGCCAACACACTTCCCAAATAAGAACCCTCAACCAGTGACTGACAGAACTCCCTTGAGCGCCCTGCTTTGTGAGGAGCTCAGCTGGGTGACACTGGTCGCCTTACGGTGGTAGCTCCCCGGTAACATGCCCTTGACCTACTTCCTTTACTTCCCCCGTTCCTGCTGGTCTTTCCTTGTCAGGGAACAGCACAGGGTAAGATAACCAAATGAGACAGCAGATAGGACGCAAGGCAGACACCAATGCGGGTCAACCCAGAGACATAACGATCGGGGGCTCATTTGCAAAGTTTCAGCTGTGTTGACCTAGCAGGCAACAGTGCTGAGTACTGTGACATGAAGAGGAGCCTGTGCAGTAACCGCTGGAGGTAGCCTGTTTTTCTGAAGTGAGAAGTGCAGGCTGTGGGGTCAGAAGACCCAGCTTTGGCCTTACCCTGTGTACTCAGGAGCAGGACTAGGAACTCGGGCAGGGCCTGGAATTTCCTGGACTCTCAGTTCCCTAATCTGTGATGACAGCAACTCAAATTTGGTCATGAAGAAGGACTCAGTGATGTGGCATGGGGTTCCTTACGTGATAATCCCACACATACAAGGCCCCCATCAGAAAATTTCAGTGAAGGGGTTCTCTCATCAAAGTCCTATATGAGGGGAGATCACCTTCATCTGCCTTTAATTTGGAATCTTGTTAAAACCTAGTGGGACCTGGCAACATGGTGTAGTGGGCAAAGCTGCTGCCCGCAGTGCCGGCATCCCATATAGGTGCTGATTTGAGTGTTGGCTGCACTACTTCTGATCCAGCTTCCTGCTTAATGAGCCTGGGAAAGGAGTGGAAGATGGCCCAAGTGTTGGGCTCCTGCACCTATGTGGGAGACCTGGAAGAAGCTCCTGGCTCCTGGCTTTGGATGGGCCCAGCTCCAGCCATTGTAGCCATCTCTCTCTCTCTCTCTCTCTCTCTCTCTCTGCCTTTCAAGTAAATAAATAAATCTTTAAAACAAACTCATGGTGGATGGTATAGAAACACTGCTTATGATTTTGAAAATTTATCTACAAAGTCAATAATTTACTGACCTAGTTTGTAATGTTAATATTTTTCCCTCATAAACATTCATAAGTGCAGGCATATTCTTCTACTTCATGGGTAAAATTTTAATAACTCTGTTCAGTCATGTGAAAGTGAAAATAATTTAATAATGAGCATTCTTCATATATTAATTAATAACTTTTTGAAAACAGCCTTTTCCTCCAAGTGTCTGTGGTCTGGGTCTCAGCGGGGCAGCCCTG